TTCCGCATTTGCATCGCGTTTACATCGCTGCTAAAAATTGCGCTTGTGTGTAAAGGTAGACGATTAGCTACTGTATCGCGTTTGTAACGCGTTTGCATCGCGTTTACATCGCTGCTAAAAAATCGCGCGTGTGTGTAAATGTAGAGGATTAGCTACTGCATCGCGTTTGTACCGCGTTTGCATCGTGTTTACATCGCTGCTTAAAGTCGCGCGTTTTTGTAAAAGTAGACGATTAGCTATTGCGTCGCGTTTACATCGCTGATAAAAATTTCGCGTGTGTCTAAAGGTAGACGATTAGCTACGGCATTGCATTTGCGTCCCGGTTACATCGCTGCTAAAAATCGCGCGTGTTTGTATAGGTAGACGATTGGCTACTGCATCGCGTTTGTACCGCGTTTGCATCGCGTTTACATCGCTGCTAAAAATCGTGCATGTGTGTAAAGGTAGACGATTAACTATTGCATCGCGTTTGTACCGCATTTGCATCGCGTTTACATCGCTGCTAAAAATTGCGCGTGTGTGTTAAGGTAGACGATTAGCTAATACGTCGCGTTTGTATCGCGTTTGCATCGCGTTTACATCACTGCTTAAAGTCGCGCGTTTGTGTAAAAGTAGACGATTAGCTACTGCATTGCGTTTACATCGCTGCTAAACATCGCGCGCGTGGGTAAAGTTAGACAATTAGCTACTGCATCGCGTTTACATCGCTGCTTAAAGTTTTTATGCAGCACTGTGTGGGAGTCGTCACGGTGGACGCTTGCATGTTTGAACTTATTCTACCAAAGACAGATCTAAAAAGTGTCAGATAGTACAACAAAACCGTATATTTTTGATACATTTATTATGTTTTGTCATAGTTTTGTAATGTCATGTCAAACAGTCATGGAGCAAAAGTTGTTGTTTATGATGTTAGTAATATAGTTCTGTGAGGTTGTTGGTATTTTAAAATTAACCCTGTATCACAGCTATAGCTGTGTCTGGGATACCACTATATTACTTTATGCACTATAATGCAGCAGGTGCCAAAGCCGTTAATGTTTTTCTTGTAATTAGGTATCACTTGATTTGTTATATTTAATAAAGTATAATAAGTGGTACGCCGTTACAAATTTACGTCGTATTGATTTTGCCGGCCTGTCATTTTAATCAAGCTAAAGATTACAGAGTATTGTGTACAATTCAAACGACTCATTTTAAATTGCAACTAATCCCCTCTATATTTTGCAACTCCCAAGTGACCCCCTCGCTGTATTTTTACAGTCAAAAGAAAAAGAAGTTTTGAAATAAAAATTAACACCGTTATATAAGTTAGGACTGTTGACGGTGTTCATTTGTGATATACTAAATAAAATACAGCACAATCCTCAAATACATTTTCTTGTTGACTGTACCACAGTACCTATCAAAAATAAACTTGTAAGTACCAGGGCATCAGGTGGGAATAAAGATATTTTATAATTAAAAAAATATTTATTCTTGATCCCCAGCATTGGGGATCCGATAGGAATACAAATTAATTTAAAATAACGTTTTACTTTAAATTATTTTGTATTCCCCCAGGGGATCGGTTTTAGGAGATTGGATGGGAATAATCCATTCAAACGTCGATGATTTCCAAAGCTGCAACAGACTTTTTTTTTATCAATTACACGATTTTTGTTTCTGGGTTATATATTTTCTATTTAGTTCTATCATAAAAACATGAATAACTTTTATTTCTATGCAAAAACTTAGCTCTTGTGGCCAGGACAACGAAAATTTTAAATCTGCATACTATTAATTCATGTAAATTTTCGGGTTTCTCTTTTATTTAACACGTTAACTGCATGGATGATGTTCAATATATGCAGCGTCGGACAAAGGTGACCTAACACACATCAGTTTGAATTACGCTTTTACGCTGGCATGGCGGTTACGTTTTCACTAAATTTAAACTTACGAATTGTGGGATTTCCCAGACAATTTGCAATAGGATGTATCTGTGTTGAGGATTTTTTATCCAGAGTTATCGTTTTGTTGTGAAATTCTGTTTGTCAAAAAGGGAACGTCATATTTCAAATCAATAATATATTTCAACCAAAATTTTACAAATTGATGACTAAGAAACCTAAAAATTTAAACATATACAAACTGTACAATACAAATATTCTTTATTGCACATTGGGACAAATAATTAATAACACAAAAAAGTAAACCAGGCGGTCTTATTGCTACAATCTCTTGCAGGCATTCTTACGGTTACAGGAAAACCTGGAAATTAATAATTTATTGATATGTATGCACATAAAACAACTGTAAAAGTATTTTTATGTAGATATATATACTTTTTTTTGATACACAGGGACGGGATAAGTCGCACGCCATATGGTAACCGACACGCTGTCCATAACAGCCACAATGCCGCTCAGAAATTTAAATCGTAAATATGAGACGTAAATTGAAAAGTCCCTTGTGCATATAGCAATAGATAAAATGGCAGTAATTCCCTAGACGAACTCATTCACAAGCTCTACTGCTACTATATACATGCTAAAAAATATTAATAGATTCAGGTGTTACATTGCGGAAGTTCATGTTAATAATAATGGAAGCAATTTGCTACTCAACTTACATTGGGTTCATTTTTAGAGCAAAAACAACAGAATTTAATACAATGAGCATTCTAAAATAAACAAGAACAACAAACACGGTGGGTACTTACGGCACAAATGAAATGAAACTTAAGCCCCGGGATTGCTTGTCAAAGAGCTATTCTAAACATTTGCGCCTAAATGTTGACAATGAGTGAGAGAGGCAGTGTCTCAAATAGGGTTTACGTACCCGGAAAATTCCCGGCAAATTTTGGCATTTTTAGACTTTGAAATTCACAACTATTGAGACTTTTTTTTATAATATTAAGTAACGACACGAACAAGTCATGCGCCTGATGATAAGCTAACGTCTGACCATAACAGGTGCAGTGCCATTCAGAGCTTTAAGTCGCAAAGATCTGAGGGGCACTGTCTCTGCGCCCGTCACCCAGAGACATGAGTTGATAAGTTCCACGAGCCCGTAATTTCACCAGCACCCTTTCCCTTCAAAACCGACACGCAGTAATGCTAGCATTACTGCTTGGCGGCAGAAATAGGTAAGGTGGCAGTACTTCCCTATGCTACGAAAACTGAGACTGTTGAAAGTAAGGGCGACTTCAAGTTAGGCGCTTGTAGAAGCGCTGCAGTAACTGCAAAAGTGTAAGCGCGTGTCACAACAGTGGTACTGCAGCTGCACTTCTAAATATTGTATGAAAGTTAGTAGTGGTACGGTTGGTCTCAGGGTGATGATCTCAGTGATAGTGCTTAGTAATTTTACCAAAATCGGACAACTAGGGTGCGTGACGGGTTAAGTACTACAGAGACCTTGCTAAATTTTGGTTTTCACCTGAAGCCCTAGTTATTAACTTCACATTTATGCCAAAATTTTCAAATTGCCCAGCGGCTTAACAACACGCCGCGCCGCCCGCTGACCCGTCAGCTGCCATCGAGCGCTTCTCGATGTCGGATCTATGTCAAATTTTCACCGCCTGTTCTTATTTTATCATTATGAATAGATTACCGCAACTTACCTCCTAAAATCTAGGCTTAGGTGAGGTTTTTCAAGTTTAGATATGTACTGAAATGTGGTGCACGAAAGGAGTCGCCTGACACGATGTACCATTTCTTTTCTGGACATCTGGCGCACCTTGGACAACAATCAGCGAGTACCTTGTGACGATGCGACCTCCTTCCATCGTCATTCCGCCTTTTTACCACCTTTTCTTTGGTTCGTGGCCCCTTGTTTTCAAATTTTGAATCGTTCTTTCAATCCGTTGCCCGCCAGAGAATGACGGGCAACAGAATTTGTTTTTGTTTCGTCGTCACTCTCTGCTTAATCGCTGAAGCGAGCAGTGCTGCTCGTCCAAGTATGATCCTATTACCAGTTCCCAACTCACATCATGTGCCAATTTTAATACCAATCTAACCTAATAATATTGTATAACTCAGCCCTTTCGGGTTAGTCTGTCTCACGTTTGTACTTAAGTAGGGAGTGTTTTGTGGCGTTGTACCTCTTTTTATACTCTTTTCTTGTTACAGCCTTCCTTTTTTCTTTAGACTTTACTTATTAAATAAATTATGTGGACCGGGCTATTTTAGTGCCGTGATCCTGGTTACGGCACGTTAGCGGTTTACAACTTCTTCAGTGCTCCTCAGATTTTTGCTATTTAAGCGAGACGATATGAGAATTGAAATTTGTGTTGAACCGTATTGTTGCATTGTAGTATTATACTCTGCAACGGAAACTATTTGTCGCGTATTTATCACTAAACGAAGTGAACAGCACTGAACCCTCACTATTCACAACCACATCGAGGTCGCGAGCCATTGTATTCTCGTCTCGCCTCGCCGGTGGAAAACCACCTTCATGGACAGGCGTGTCGCCTCCCACCAAGCACAAGACTTGTTCGGGCCATCACTTGAAATAACGCGGCACATTTTATCGTTATGTTTACCAACGTTGTTTGCTTTTCAGTTTCGTACAGTAACCAAAAGGTTAGATTTCGCTGGAGCGACTCTGGAGTGACAATTAACCCGGAGCTGAAACTGCTGCAATATCACATCGGCCAGCCTCTACGGTTAGAGGAAACTAATGGATATATGATTGATAAAGACGGTAATCACATAATACATTTTTTTTAAACTTATTCCAGAAAGAAAACCACTTCAATTGTATGCAGAGATAGGCAAGCGCCCGTGTTATAACCCGGCGCGTTGTTAACGTCGTGTTTAAATCGGGTTGAACATCGTTAATGCCCGAAATCTCTGTCTCGAATACTCCCATATTATTAAAATGTGACCACAGAGATTTGTTTCTAAAATTAGCCGTTAGAAAAGTCGGTTACACTTCAAAAAAAGGATACGGCTCGGTTCGACCGTATTTTTTTATGTATGCTACGCGATAACTTTTGTTCACTTGTGAACCGATTTTGATGATCCTTTTTTTGTTGGTACTTCAGTATTTGTCCCATTTACATTTAAAGAAAATATTCCACCTATGAGGGTGGCAAACTAGGAGATGATTCCGGCTTCGCGCACTTTCCGGTAACCAATTTCAATAAAACTTGCCAAATAGATGTAATTCCACGAACTTTTGAGGTCGGTTTTTTTAGAATAGGTACATACATCTCTACAATGCGAGATTATTAGAATACATAACAGACGTAAGAAAAAAATATAACACCTATCATTGACTTACAATTATATGGACGTCGAGTCCGCGCTAAAATGTGTCCGAACTTATAGGGCGTTAAAATCGTATACAGAGCGTCATTCACGCTTTAGTCTTCGTTTGTTCGACTGACAGCGAAGCAAGCAAAATTAGACAGTACTGCGATGACATTACAATTTAAATTCAACGTTTTAGCTTTTTCATATTCCTTTACATGTCACTACGTTTAAATAGGTTGACTTGGGACTTTTTTTTGTGGTTTTTGTATTAGACCCGTCGTCCATTTATTTGTAAGCCAATGACACCTATAGATAATAAGACACTTTAGGCTATAAATGAGCATAGACTATTATATAGTCGTGACTGTTTAAATCAACATATATTCGTTATTTCTTTTCAGGTAACTACTCAAGACTAGTAGTCTACTTCAGATTTGAGCGTCAGATTGGTCATCATCTGATCCAAACTTTTGCGCCGTCCTCCCTCGTAGTCATGCTCTCCTGGTTCAGCTTCTGGCTGGACCTGGACGCCATACCCGGCCGCGTCACTCTACTAGTCACCTGCATGTTGACCCTTGTCACCATGTTTACTGGATTGAGAGCTGATATTCCACCTGTCGCTTACGTTAAGGTAAATAAATATGTAAGATGTATTTTGATAGTAATATATCTTTACTAACTTAAAAAAGGGTACTTTTAAAAATGTCTTTATAATCATTATAATCTGTGTACTTAACTCAAGATGAAAAGCCTTTATTGCGAAAAAATTAAAATTGCGGACATAAACTCATATTGCTTAAACAAACCATCTTAAAATATTTTCACAAAAATAGGTGCTGAAGGCCTAGATATCGCTACATATATTTAAGAGAAATAGATGCTAATCTTTAAGTCAATACACCGATAATCTGTAAAAGTAAATTTCTGTATGAGGAGATAAAACAATTTGTGTGGATTTTTGTCTCATTCAATCCATTATTTAAACGAATTCTTGAAGTTACACGCATTTTTGAAGTTGCCATAACTTCATAACAGCCTACGTCACGATTTGTTTTATTTGTTATCTTAGTTTTCTATTCTTGACTATAGGTGTTCCATGTGTTGTATCTCTATATTATTTTATAATGCTCGATGTAAACGTATGCTTCCAGCTAGATTTTCTTTAAGAATTTTTTCTATTATACCGAGCGATTGGACGAACAAGTTGTGCGCCTGGTGGTAAGCGTCACGCCTGTCCATAACAGTTGTGTACCACTCAGAGCTTTTAATCGCAAAGATCTCAGGAGCACTGCCACTGTACCCGTCATCCTGTAACATAAGTTGACAAGTCCCATGTGCCTGTAATTTCACCATCACCCTTACCCTTCGTAACCGCAGTACAGCATGACGGCTGGTAATAGGTAAGGTGGTAGTACTTCCCTGGACGAACTCTTTGACAAGGAGCTCTACTGCTAGTCAAATAGTCATGTCCTCGCATGTAAAGCGATCTATGGGTAAACACCGTAAAACCCTCCCAACACAAGCCGGAGACGTTAAAGGTCCAGGATGAAACGGAGTGATGAGCTAGATACTTAAATTAGAGCTTGGCCTGTAGCGGGTTTAAATCCCAATGAGTGCAGGAAGGAAACGGATGTACTTCTGTAAAGGAACAGCATTGAAAAATGAAATGAAAATGAAAAATGATTCCCTCGTTCACGTAAATAGTATTGATTCGGTTGGCAAATAACATTTAGTCTTTGATGATCAGCATCCTATTTAAGAGCCAGGCTTTTATCAGTGTAGCCTTCTCTACTCCTCACGGTTCATAGCCAGTTGCTTGACCCGTTTGTAGCTGCCCACTTTGATATTCTTCTTTATTTATTCACTATTGGCCATACTTTGTTTTCCTCTCTTTTTTTTCCTTATTATTTTCCCCTTTATTATAATTATATTTCACAAATTCACCTTTACGTAACAAATATGTCCGAACATTTTACCCTTATTGTTCTCAATTGTACTTAAAAGATTTCTTTCTTACCTAAACATTTTTAAAACTGCTACATTTGATTTCTTCTCAATCGTAGTATGTTCGTTCTTCTTTGTTAGCAGGTCATCTTAATTTGACTTCGTTTTGACGAAAATGTTGACTATAATAATGGTTTCCGAAAACAAAGTTTTCGGAACCATATTTCATTTAATAATCCTGGTTGTGTTATTTCAAAAATATATTAAAAATCTTATATCAAAAATACAACTCAATTGGACGCTCTTCTCGCAACAAAGTGAAAACTTTTACTTAACAATTCTTGAAATAAAACTTAAATGATAGTCTTGGATATAACAAAGTTCTAGCTTTGACAGTATCAATTGAGACTATCAAAACTAAAAACTTATGCGGTAAATAGTTGATGTTTATTTTCGCTGAATTCGAATTTACTCTATTAAAATATTATGTTTTGGTATACATAGAGTCGTAGTTCATTGTATTCGTGAACAATGTACCTTCACAAAGAAAATAGAGGTGAGAACCAATTAACATGAAATTTGATATTTTAGTTTTTTATGTATTGTAGGAGCAGTCAGCACTTTTGTGTATTTTAAGTAGCAGTACAGTCCGTGTGAAATATTTCGTCCAGGGAAGTACTGCCACTTTACGTATTTCTGTCGGCAAAAAGATTACTTCTTGGCGGCAGAAACACACACTCTCACACTCACTCACATTAGTGAGCATTAATGCGTTCCGGTGGGAAGGGTAAGGGTGCTGGTTCAATTACAGGGACTTGTCAACTTATATCTCAGAGTGAAGGGCGCAGTGGCAGTGCCCCTTGTTCGTCCCGTCACTTGATATTATAAAAAAAACTTTGTGTGACACGTAACTTAATATGTTAACTTGGTCAGTGTGAAATAAATGTTCATAAAGTGTAAGCAAATGCTACGCAATGATATTTACCTTCTACAGGTAACATTTAAAACAATGCACAGTAATTATTTTTTTAATTATTATTTTTTACAGTTATTTTTGTCTACTTATTTCACTCATGCTGATATCATAGTATAATAAGACAATTAGAGTAACTTCAAATGTAACTTCATACAAACATAGCAGCTTGATATCAGTCGGTCGGCTGTGAAAGTACCCGGCTGAGTGAAGAAACTTTCATAAAGTTTCTCACAGGTGGTGTTACGCCAAAAAAATCGCTTAAATCCAATAGAAAGATCTGCAACGAGCACATAAAGAAATTCTTAAGATTTGCTGACTCGGTCAATAGCTCAGTCTGATCGAAGGAATTTTTCTGTAGTATGTTGGTTTGACCTTTGTATCAATAATAATAACAAACTAACGGAGTATTTTCACGAAAAATATATTTATCAATATCATGGTAGTCAAAACAACATGATATTCAATAATAGTATATTTTTTTATTATCGAGTGACTAAAACCACGGAAGAAAAAAACATTGGAAGTGCCATAAGCCTCGATTACTAACAGAACCGATGTCGCCAAAACTCACACAAGAAGTTCTGTCCCGTTGGAGCTGTGCCACATAGATTTCGGCTGGTGGGTTTCTTTCTTCTCTTCTCCACCTTTGTGAAGCCGTCCTCGTCGCACCTGTCGGTCTGCCTCTGAGATTTGGCACCTGCGATTCCAGAGACAGGCATTCGGGGTTTACTACCGCCCTTTGCAGTTTTCCGCAACTCGAGTTTTGAAGTCACGATTCCGCTGCTAATAGTCGCGGCAACAGCGGCGTATGCACGCCCGGGCGATGACGTGCATACGGGTGACGTAACCTCCGAGGTGGAGGGGCGGGCAGGGGGGCACGGTGCATTGACAACAGCAATGACCGGCGACATACGAGCCGACTCAATACTGCCGACGGATGCTTTTCGCGCCCCGCGACGCGTGTTGACGTAGGAGACTGTCGGTGACCTACATACCGAAGCGGGGTTGCGTAACAACGCAACTTCGGCACGTAGCTCACTTATGGAGTTATCCGACGCCTCCAATTTTGACTGAACTTCAGCCAAACTCGACTTCAAGGACGTGATGTCCTTTAACAGCCTGGTGACGTCGACGTGGTCAAAGGTGACCGGAGGCAACTTGTGCAGCTCCTTCGCCACGAAAGTAGGCACGTCGTCCGGATCGGTATTCTTCAAGAATGCAGTAACATCCTGGACACTCTTCAAGCCTCCATCCCTCCGACGAGATGGCATCTGCTGCGCTTTGCCGCAGCTCTGGAACAGCAGCATCTTGCCACTGCAAATCTCATCTTCGTTGAAATTAGATTTGCAGATCTGCTCGATGCTGACTTCATCCATTGTGTCGATAACATTCTGCACGAATGCCAGAAACTCATTGACAATGAGTTGTTGGGAACCCATTGTCACTTACGTACATGCAGCAGCCTAAGCCGCGCAAAATCGCGAATTAAAATAATTCTCGCAAAGTAGTGCAGCGCGTCCGTTTCCGATCGCACATTGAACACGAGTGTGATTTTTGTTGACTTTGCTTTAAATAGCAAAGATCCGAGAGGCACTGCCACTGCGCCCGTCACCCTAAGACATAAGTTGACAAGTCCAATGTGCCCCTACTTTCACCAGTCCAGCGCTATCATGGACCAATAACAAGTGCTAATGATACTACAGATGCTAACTCTGAAAAAGGTCAAAATTCCGTCTTACATCTAAATGGGACTGATGGGTAGCCTGGAAGTATTATGTAAATGGCCGTAATATGAACTATAAGTCAGTTAGTTTGCTTCCTTATAATATAATTCAAATATCAATCATGAATCATCGAATCTGACTCAGTTGGGCAGCTTTCGAAATGCTTTGGGACGTCTTCTCGTCCGCAATATTGCAGTACTTGAAGACAAAAGTCTTTGAGCAGTGCGTGTTGCCAACGATGACCTACGGCTCTGAGACGTGGTCATTTACTATGGGCCTGATAAAAAGCGGGCAATATGGAGCTATGGAGCGAGCAATGCTCGGCATTTCTCTTCATGAACGAATCAGAAATGAAGAGATTCCCAGAAGAACGAAATTCGCCGATATTCTTGAATGGAGACCACGAATCGGAAGGCAGTGGGACGGCCCCCGACTAGATGGACGGATGACTGGGTAAGAGCGGCAGGTAACCGATGATGCACATCACGTCCGATCGGCTGGTCTGGAAATCCTTGGGGCTGTGAGCGTCTTCCGGCTGATATGATGATGATGGTTAATCATGAGTTAAAATTATTTTGTGACGTTTGACAAATATGCGTGTCAATAGATGGCATTGTGTGTTACAAATTAATATATAATTTCGGGGCCAGCTATCACTTCAAACGTAATTTATTAGATAAACGATTTACTAGGCTACCTACGAAGACTAGGTCATGGTTTCTTTGTTTGCAAATGTCACGTCTGTTTGATAATTCAAACTGGGTACAGTCGGAAAAAGGGGGCTTTTTGTTTAATTTGCTTGGACTGGGAAGACGTACCGCTTCGCTCTGTTTGAATTTGCCGCGTGATATTTAGAATCCGTTGTAACCTCATGCATCTCTTATACTTTCAGACTAATGACTGTGAAAAGTGTATAAGACAATTGCACGCACAAATTGATAATGAAGTGTGAATAAGCTGATTATCAAGTAATTCCTGACTAAACCTGCGTTGAGGGTGTTTCTTTCGACGTCTCCTTTTCCGACATATAAATTAACGCTTCCTATATGAGTAGATGGCGTTTATCCTAAACAAAAGGAAATAATAGCCGGCACTATCCATAAAAATAATAGTTGATTTGTTTGTTATCACTATATATTATATAAATTAGAGCAGCTTTGATAAATTGCATCTTGTCAATGTGAAACAAATTAGTTACAAACATAGCTATTTAGTACTCGTCGCAACATCTGGTATACCAATAGGTACTAAATACCCGACTACATTGTCTTGTATTGTATCGCGATTGGCAGGCGTCTTGAGTAGGTCCATGATTTTATTTAAAAGCAAGTGGCGAGACAGTAGACAAGTATTTAAGGCTTTTCAATTCCTCAGTGTAGTAGTTGTTCCAGTTGATGATGATGAATTTGGATTATTTACAGAATCTAGAATTTTTATGACTGTAGATAATTAAATTTTTGCAGGCACTCGACTTATGGATGGCCGGGTGTATGATGTTCGTTTTCGCTGCCCTCGGAGAATTCGTGGTAGTGAAGGTACTGGACAAGCAATATCAAATGAACAAGAATAAGGCACAGGATTCCCTGCCGAGGATCATTCCTGTGGTGAGTACCAATCTGTTCCTAGTTTATTTTCAAATGAAATGCCTAAAACGATAACAAATAATTATAAAACTGAAAATATAATTAAACCTAAACGAAATTTCTTAAAAATGTATCAAAATCTGTAACATTTTCAAAAAAAAACTTAGTCACGGAGTAACTTTCTTTGAAATGCTTATTTTGACAGATGAGACCGCCATGTGCTTGGAAAATGACACATCATGATACGTTTTTAGTATGAAAGAAAAAGCGAACGGATTTCCGATGGGGAACGTAAACTGCATGGACAGTGAATTGTTTTTGTGAGGTCATAGCTTAGACTGCGGAAACTTTTTCCATCCTCTAAGGGTCGTAGTACGAATTCGACAGGCTATCCAATTTACGGGCTTAAACAGGATTGCTATAAGAGCTCATAGTAGGCCCGGAATGGAATTGCCCGCCTGTGCGTGATTGTGTTTGTTTTTGAGCACATGTTACACGATCTTGAAGGTGCGATTAAATAGGTATCTTCTGGGCAAGCTAAAGTTAGTCCATTTTCATTATCGTTAATCAATGAAAATGAACGAACACAAGATACGTTCCAATTATATTATCGAATTACAGGACATGTAATTTTATCTTTCGACAAATTGTAAAGTATGATTGAAAAGTTGCCAATATTACAATAAAACGTAGTAAGTATGATCAATAATAAAATTATTAAAAAAATAAAATTGTTCTCTAAAAAGTGCTTGAACGCGCCAAGGGTAGTACATCTGTCTATTTCTTTCGTATGATTTTAGTATGTAGTTCCATCTCGCTCTTGTTAGATGTCAACTAGCCAGCCAAAGACATTATTTAAAGTTTAAAACATTGACTTACAATGGTTTAAAAAGTAAAACTCATCACTTGCCATTCCCGTTCAACTTTACGTCATGATACGAATTTAAACAAATCAGTTTTACCACGTCAAGTTAATTCCATGGAACTTGACTGGTTGCTTATAAGCTCATACTAGGCCAACTGAGCTGTAAGCATTAGAAAAGATGACGAAAATGTATAATGAACAGTTAAAATTCAAACTTGTGTAATGAAGTTAAGTTTTATTGAATGCCAATATGTTTCACTACCATGATCTTCAATTTTTTTTTTTTTGTGAAATAGGTCGACCAGCTTGTTTTAATTATTAAACAAAGATATATAGATATATATCTATATACAGAGAGAGAAGAGAGTAACGAACACTTAGAAAAAATACACTTCGATCCGGTTGGATTCGAACCGACATCTGTACCAGTAAACTGTACCGTTTGTTGCACATCTTTGTTTTTATTTTTTAACGACTTTTTGCCGAAGCATCTGTGAGAAATCTATGAAAGTTTACAGCTACCAGCCAGTGACTAGAGGTGTCACTTTAATAATTTTAATTAAGTTTTATTGAATGTCAAAACTTTCGGTCCCTGGTGGTATAAGATGCGTATGGCGAAACAGGGGCTTTACTC